GAAAGAAAGGATGACCGTGAGAGTTTTTTAGGATACGAATCATCATGTCACGACCAGGATGTCCTAGTCGATCATGCCAAAGTCTATATCGTTCAGTATCCCTTATGTCATCATGACTTATAGAATAAGATTCAATTATTCGAATTGTAGTGATATACAGTCCACTACTCTTACCCTTAAACTTCTCTAAGATGCGCTTTCTTCCGCATTCATTAGAAGTAATGTAAAGGTATTCAATACCATTCTCACAATGAGTTTCAATATGAAAACCATTGTCACGGATGTCTTTGAAACTTAACAAGGTTCGAGTAGCTCTAGGTGCATATAGAGCATTTATGGCTTTAATCAATGTACCATTAGGGAGTAAGAAGATGGCAGTACCACGTCCCTGAATTACATGTGACGAACCAATCATTGTTGTCACAGATGAATTATAGGCTACCAAGTTAACAAAGAGTTGCCTATTTCGCAAGATGGTATGGGTAGTCCCGCTATCTATTAAGCACTCAAGTTCACCTCGATTCATGCCTGTGTAAGGAGAGAAGTGCATATAGAACTGGACCGTAGGTGCGAAGGTAAGGGAGCTGCTGGTTGTGGTCGTGCGACAGTAAGAAGGCCTCCGTTGCTGTGCGATCGACTGAGATTTCGGGGATACGTGAAGAAACTTCCGATTGACACAGATTTCTGGTGCTGGTTCTTCCGATTTGGCCCTCGCGGTCGTCTGTGCCTCACGATCGGGAAACTCAGGCGTTGGGAATCGCAGACCTGGTGGCGGGGTCCTTCCGATTTGATTCGCGATGGGGAATCGCAGAGGAGAACGACGATGGGTGTTCTTTTCCTTTGCGATGTTCAGTGGAGATCGGCGGAGAAAAGAACAGGAGAGAGGGTGGCGGACGGAAAAACTAGGGTTGAGCAAAAGTGCTGATAACGTGTTGTAGGAGATGTACATTCTTTATTGATAATAGCTCCCTTATATAGGGAAGAGCTTCGTAGGGTTTTACAAGAGAAGGCCCACGGGTCAGTATAACTATATTACACAATATAAAGTAAATTCTATCTACACAACAGCACACTAATTTACAAATTCCTTCAACAAAAAATTAAATTTAAATTTTTTGGTTTTTTGTTTTGGAAAAACAAAATAATGAGAAACAAGACGTCAAGAAGTGTGCCAACGAATTGAATACATTTGGCCCTCCGCCGAAGTCCTGCCCAAGCCTTCCTTGGCTCATATA